ATTCACCTGCACCGTGATTTATCAAGTTAAACAACCTTCTTTATTGTTTTTGGATTCTCACCAGGGCTGTGAACACCTTTTTTATGGATGGAAAACAGAACCGTTTGACAATTTAGCAGAACATTTCATTAGGATGGGTTTAGTCAAGAACACTGGCGAGGCCAAATAAAACGGAAGGACCCGGAGAACCTGATCGTAAGTTATTTAGGCAGAGGGGTCGCTCCGGGGACCTGTACTTTAAATAGAGCTCCAAAAAGTTTCCAACTTCATCAAGCTCACACCCACGAGAAGGAGGATATTTAAGAGACAATGAATTGATGTGAGCCAGAAACAGCATTTAATAAAAGCAAAAGACGAGATATAAGGTGATTAATTCACTGAAGAATAATAAAGCCAGAGCAGATCTGCAGGGAAATGTAAGGTCTTATTTTCTTTTTCTCATGACAGGGATTAAGTACAAATATCCCTGCTACTGGTATTAACTTCTGGCAGGATTGCTCTGTCATGATCAGTTTTTAGTGCAAGTCCTGAATCTGTTCACTAACAGAGCTGCAGGAGAGACAGACATCACCCTCAGTAATAAGAGGAATAAAACACAGCAGGGTTCAGCTGATAAGAGATTTTAGCCTCTGCCGATACGCTGGAGTCACTGATAGTCAGTATGGTAATATTCCATATCTTTAATTTGGCCATTTGGATAGAATCATTTCTTAGTGTTTACAGATTTCCGTCTTTGCAATAGCATCACTTAACGAAACTTTATTTTCCTTTATTGAATCCACTGAGAAAAAAAACGAAAAAAACAAAAAGAAAAGACAAAAAAAAGACAAAAAAAAAAGATACATGCAGTAGGTGTGGCTCAATCATTCATATCAGTGACGTCTGTCAGTTAATAAAAAAGAGTGTTTCATTTCTGATAACCGATATATCAACCTAAGCTCAGTCATCGGAGCAGAAACTTCATGAGACAAACAAGTGGCTTTGCATAAGGCGTTCTTGTTTTTCCTTCCACATGCCACAACAGTAAGTGACAAGCACACCCCCAAACACTGCACCATGTGAGGGGAATTGGGGCGTTTGGTGAGGGTAAATGTCACTGAGTGTAATTAAGGAGGATCACACCCTCAGGAACTCTTCCGGTTGACAAAGTGAACAAGTGACAGTGACTCTTTTTTATCAAATGAGCAAATATGGGCTTAAAAGAGTATGGCTTAGAGTCAATATCAAGTTGTTTCTCAAAATCGTTATCACTATTTGTCAGGCACGTATAAAATTCTTCTGAAGTAGCCTATTTTTCATTTCAACTTCTTCCCTCCACATGAGAAGTTTCACAGTTCGCAGCACAAAAACAAAAGGCCTAACCTAAAATATATAATTTATGAATTCACTAAATGTTATGTGTTATCTGTAATTGATCAAGATACTGTATGAACAGAGGGGGTCAATTAATGGCATTTTTGGCCTGGTTTATCTCTCACACTTCCAGTTCAATATGTGGCATGCAGAATAAATATGGTGCCATCGTTTATCTGTGGCAAATTCTCCGTATTCACACCCACAGGAACAAAACTGGAGATCGGACTATAAGGCCTCGAATCGCTAGATTAATGAGACAGACAAAGGTAAACTTGATTAGAGGAGAGTCACCCCATTCCACCCTTTCTGATTTGTGGTTAATCGCATTGGATTGATTTAAGCCTCCAAGTCACTTTTCTGCAGCACAAATCAACATCTGTAAAAGAAAAAAATTCTGAAACTGGAATTTCCATCCTCCCCCTTTTTTTTTTGTACCAATTTAATTGATGTTAGACAGAATTTTAAAAAGGAGACAAAATCCTCTGAATCATCAATCAAACAGCCATATTCTGCAAGACAGCTGCTATATAACAGCAGCTGCTAAACAGGACTAATTCTCCAGAATGAAATATGCTACAGAGGCCAGCCATTTACAGCACCGGTATCAGAGCTATATTTCAAGGCCTGGCTGCAGCCTCTGCCCATTACAGTGTGTGTGATGTATTTTAGGGCCAGTTTATGTCCTGCTCTGGTCTCAGAGGGGTCTAAACACTGACAAGATGGCTGATAGAAGACGCCTCTGGCCTGATACTGGCTCTCCCTACAGAGGGGACCAGGGGAGAGGAGCTGTGTTAAAGAAGATAGACATCTGAAGTGTCAATTTGGCCAAAGTGTGAATATCCAGCTAAGGAAAAATACCAAAATGCCATTAGTGTTTTGCCATTCAAGAGAAAGTGGGATGTAGGCAGCGGTGTCATAAATGTACAGATGGAGGTCAGGATTAAGTTTAATCCCTGTATCTTCTCATAAATTGATGTTGTGTCCGGTAATTATTAATTTAATGAGCTTTTGAATCTATGACCAGAGAGATCATCTGGAAGTGATTTCACAAAACGATGAATTTACTGTATGGGTCCACACTGAGCACATTGTGCAGTATTAACATCTCTTCAGTGTAAAAACATTAGGCATGAATCTATCTTCAACAAAATATCAGGAATCTTTACTTTTGTTTTGTAATAATTTTGTTGGGTGCAGTTGGCGTTAAGGTGGTACATGGTGTTAGGAGGAGTCAGTTGTTTAAGTCTTGTGAAGAATAATGTTTTGTACAGTTTTTTTTTTTTTTTGCAGAATATGTCTTGCTTTACTTTTGTGTTTAAATGGTGTAGGTGTTATTTTCTTTAATGGCAAAATTTCTGTCGTTTTGATGCCAAACCTCATTCATTTATTTCATTTATTCCAGCAGAGCGAAGGCGGCCTTGGTGTACCTGAAGTCAAGGATTTTCTCAGCATTAAGCCTCAGCACTGAAAGGCAACAAGTAGACTCTCAGAAATTAATACATAATACATACAAAATGTATAATACCAAGCTCACCATTAGACATACAGAATGAGCAGCTTATACTCTACATCAGAATAAATAAAGTAAAGCATGCTCCGATGAAGACATAATACGAACACATGGCCTGTTTCCTCATTACACTAAAGGTGAGTAAGGGTACACTAACGAGCACCTCAGAGCCAGAGGCTGGAGGTTCGGCTCTGATCTCTAGACAGATGGACTGAAGAAAGCTGTGTTGAAGAAGAAGGCTCTCACCTGGATGCTTCTCACAACCAAGTCGACGTTTTTTGGCACAGCTGCAATGTCTGACCTGTGTCGTGACGAGGAAGTAGTTATGGATTCAGCACGGTGCATCAGCCGCACAATATCATGCCGGATGAGGTTCATGGGGAAATGTAAACGTACATCAGGCACTCAGGAGAGACATGGCTTGTCATTATGTCATCGGCGAATAAGCATGCCGCAGACAGTAAATAAAAACGATATCCAGCTGTTCAGCACTTCTGCATAATCAGTCACCAGGAAAACGAGGTGATCTGTTAACATCTCATCACATTTATCGAGCAGAGAACTTCTTTGTCTTTGATCAGCCACCAACTGGCATGTGAAGTAAATAGTTCTTGATGAGCATTAGTGGCAAACACTGTCTTGAGGTTGATTATCTCAGTGACTAATACTCTGTCACTCTGTGGTATGAGAGGGCCCATCGAGGACCCCCGGTAATGGAGCCTGAGCAGGTGCTGAAAGCCCACTGACATCAGGGGGGAGTGCACTGACAAGAATTTCTGATGAATTTCAATTACTGACCTATTAAAGCTAATGAGGTAAATGAGCAGCCAGAATACATTTGCTAGATAGCTTGAGACAAGACCTCAGCGGTTTGACGGGATTTTGTGTGCGTGCAGCCACAGCAAACAGCATGGTGTTAGTGCGACGGTTACTGTGGAAATGTCCCTGTGTTAGCCTGCTGAGTGGGAGCTTCAAATGCAGTAGTCAACTAACAAATGACTCCAAGAGAATTATTTTCCACACATTAGACATGCTGTTTTTGATTATGTGTAATAAAAGTTGGTGTTCTCACTCTTGGCTGTAATGCCACATCTAAATGTAAGGCAAGAGTGCCATCTACTGGAGTTACTGCATTACAGCACAGATGCACACTCACTCGAATATTCAGATGTATAGTACCATCTGCTGGATTTATAGTGAGCAGCATCAGAGGGAGACCCAAAAGTCTGTAGTTTTTACTACTTATCCAGGTCTCTCTAATAATACTGGACATTTATTAGTTAGTTTATTATTATTCGTCACAAATGAATTGGCAGCAGTCTCCTTAGTTTTGCTTTTGAATTAATTTCTCACTCATATAGACTGAGAAATTGTAAACAGTGGGTGTATTTTAGGCCGGACAATGAAAGGTGCTCACATCTTCTGAGAAAAAAAACTAGTCTGGTGCTCTGTATTAACATGGCAGAGGGGGTAAGGTTTTGGATAAGCTCGTGTGGTGCTTTAGATTTGCTTTATCACAATGTAAAAGTGTTTTGTTTTACATGAGACAAGAGACACAAACTGCTACCTAACTAGCAGCTCTGTTAAGACTCCCACGGGGTGAATGTCACAGCCCCAAACAAAGCTGCTACTTAACTGGTAGAGACACATGAGATCCCTTTAACTTTATTTACATGCTTACACTTACTCTAACTGATTTAATGTTGCAGACTTGCAAGCAAACAGCTGCCTACTTACACATACAGCAGATACAGAGCAACATTAGCATTCATTTGGAGCCATGTTTCTGACCAACTGATAAATGTAGGTGTAATATTTATTCCTCTTAGCTCTGTTTTTAGCCTCCACTAACGTCTGGAGTCACAGAAAGTCCCATAGAAAAGCTCCAGGAAGCACCCATGTGCTGCACTTTATCAGGCGAGGGGCAGTTAACCAGACATACATTTGCAAACCCAACTAGTTAGTCCTCATCCTGTAAGTATTAATACTGTCTACAAAATGATGAAATTTATGCTTCAGATAAAGCATAAATCTCACCATTATGTCGCTTGTCCAAGTCAGTTCTCTAGTGCAGCAATGGACACAATGGAGGCTGGTACTTAAAGGTTGGTGAGAACCACAGTTGAAGAGGGTGTGGCTATCTGACACAAGAGCAACGGCAAGTTCATTCCATACTTGAAAACAAACTTCAAGCGACACAAAGGTGAGATTTATGTTTTATCCTAAGTGTTTTCAAACTGTATTTTTCAATTTTACAAACGAAAAGCAGGAAGCCAATTAACTGGTTGGGTTTGCAAATGTATTTCTGATAAACCGCCCCACCTCAGTCAAACTGGAGTTTGCAGCCACTTCCCTGCACTTTTCTATGGGACCTTGTGGGACTGGGGCTACCTTTCTAGCTGCTCAATGCTCCACAATTATTACCAACTAGTCACTAACTGATTAAAAAAAAAAAAAAGAAAACTGTGAGAGCAGTGAAACACTAAACCTGCAGTCGTGAAATCCAAAATATTGGCTCTATCATTAAAGGTCATAATAATAAATTTCTCCAAATGTTAGAAAAAGGTCCAACCTAGGGTCGATGAAATTGATTCAAGATTCCTGCATAGCTAAAATTGTGTGTCAGTCAATAAAGACTATTTAGTTGGTTTTCTAAAGATATAAAGCTTTGTAAAGCATGAACAGTCTTTGGCAGCCATTTTAATCATCATATAGTGCATAAATTGTTTTTATTGATAATTTTGTAAACCATCATAAAAGGTTTGGTGTATATAGGCTGAAGAGACTCAAAACTACAGCAAATAGTAAATCTTAGCAACAGGCAAATATAGGTTGTGTCTCAATTCAGGGGCCGCATCTTTCAAAGGACGTGGTCCAGCCAATGTAAGCTGCAAAGGCTGAACTGAAAGGAAACGGTCAGGTCTACAGAGGATTTCTTATTCATCCTCAGCCTCTGCTTTGTTTGTGGAATATTCTTTTGAAAGTGATTCGCGCAATGAATCTTGGGATAGGTTGAGCTGCCAAGGATCTACTTGCTGGATCCTTTGTTGCCAGGGAAATGAGGGACACATTTCTCGGCTGCAGTTGAAGGAGCCTTCGAAATAGGACAGCCTTGTCGTGCCGCTGTGACGCAATCCTTTATTCAAATGCCGCCTCTGAATGGAGACACAGCTACACTGTTAATGTGAAGAAATGTCAGAGTTAACTGAATGTAAGGGGAGTTATGTACTCAAGCATAAACGAGAATGCAGCTCAAACTGCTGTTGAAGAATACCCTGCCATCTTTCTCAGTGCTGCACTTGTTTCTGAGAAGGTCTAACATGCCTGCTCTGATCTCCGGGGTGAAGGATTGGTAGAAGTGATCTTTGGCTGTCATGAAATTCAGCAGACGTTCTCCAGTCGCGCTGCTCATATCGAAGCACTCAGTGATGTCGAAGGTGTTGTGAATGATGTGCTCCTCATATTTCAGACCCTGGCTCTTTAGGCATGCGAGCACCTCCGCTGATGAGCGGTACTCTGTGATGGCGTCGACGCAGAGCTCCTTCCTGTACGTCTTCCACAGGGTGTCCCAGCCACCGTTGGCTTTAGTATGAGATTCAAAAATACATTAATTATAGTAACAAAACGTTTATGTTATGCGTTTATCTTAAAATAAGTAAGTACAATTATTGACCCGGGGAAATGAAATGCAGATTGCATTGTCTTTGCTTTTAAGTAAAGATCATGTGAGGAGGCAGAAGAGCAGGAGGCAATAGGGCTTATGGGAAACAAGGTAAAACTTTCGGTGATCTAGACACATTGATCACGGTCTCACGGTTTTACAGTAATCATATAAGAATTGTAAATATATATTGCAATAATCTGAATAAAATTGTTTTATAGCAGACTCAGATTAAACTGAATTAAAATCTTCTTACCCGTTTCAACGATGATCATAAGTCTGCCATTGTTTTTTAGAAGACTGTGGTAGAACTTGATAGTTTCAGCGAGGTTATTCACATAGTAGATCATCTGTTAAGGAGAGAGTTGTGGGGAATCTTTAATTGGAATTTTCCAATTAAAGGAAGATTGAATATACACAAAGGAATACATTAAATGTGCAAGCACATATTTTTAAGTGTTTTCACTCACTGTAGGTATGATAGGAACACTAGAGTTACAGGATGTCTAACTAGTTGGTGTACTAGTTGTATAGCTTTGTTTGGCATGCAAATGCACTGCTCCCAAGGTGTTCACCAATGAATGCAAACAGCAGCAAATGATGTAGTAGGGAACTGAATAAATCAAATTGCTCGCACAATGTGAGACACTGACATCCTACCAACAGTTTACTCTTTAGTCCACCTAACTTGCAGGACAACATGGAGATAACCAGAGACAAGAAAGTAAACCCACCATCTTCTTGCCATCACATAATTTTTAAACTGAATGTCCAAAAAGCAGAGTTATAACACCTGAATCATGTGTATGAAGTCAAATTTCTTCACGTCTCCCTTTGCTTTCACTTGCTTCTCATAGTCCTCACTGTGCATGACATGCCAAGCGAATGTGATCTTCTGAAGGTTGGTGGTCTTTGATACCAAAGCTAAAAGTTGGATATAAAGAGAACAGAGAAAGTAAAGCAGTCAGTAACACTGAGATACTGTATACTGTATATATACTGTGTATAGTACAATGAAACATTTAATTTCACAAGAAATGACCTAAGCACAGACTATGATCAATACAAAACCAATACAAGGTTTAGCTGCTTGCAATCCATTAGAAGCATGCAGTTCCTCAACTGACTTGCAAAGCTTTGTGGGTACCGAAGTTAGTGTTCGGATCAAAAACCAATGTGGAAATAAGGAAAATAAGAGGTTTGAGTGCAGCCTGAGCTAGAGCAGCAATGATTGCTAAATTCTTGGTTCAGACAATGTGTGGATCCATGATGCTTCGACCCCAAACAAAGAAAAAACAGATGTGTATTCAGATGAAAGTTAACATCAACAGATATCTCAGAGCCATCAGATGTGTCCCCATATGGATATACATTGGCCCCAGAAAGGGCTGAGACTCCTTCCCTTTTTGCACACTTTATTGTATTGTGCATTTCATTTTAAATCCATAAAATTGCCATTTTTGCCGATCATTCTACAATCAATAACATGAATTAAAAAAAAAAATAAAATCAGAAACTGATATCGCTTAATTACCAAAGTGTTCAGACTATAAAATCCAGTACTTTGAAGAAGTTAAAGAAATGACAGCTTCCAGTCTTCTTGGGTAAGTCTCTACAAGCTTTGCACATCTGGATGTGGGTAGTTTATCCCCTTCGTCCTGGAAGATCCTCTCAAGCATCTGTGACCTGCCATCTTCAGGTCTCTCCACAGATGTTGTGTAGGGTTTAAGCCTGGATTTTGGCCAGGCCAGTCAAAGACAGTCAGAGATTGTCCCGAAGCGACTCAAGTGTTTTCTTGGCTGTGTGCCTCAGGTCACTGTCATGCTGAAAGGTGAACTGTCGTCTCAGTCTAAGGTTTTCTTTTTAAGACCTCTCTGTATTTGGGTTCATCCATCCCTCAGTTCTGCCCAGTCTCCCTGTCGCTGCTGAGAAACCCCCCCACAGCATGATGCTGCCACTACCTGGTATAAGCCAGGTGATGAGTGATGATGGCATCTGGTTTACGCCAGACATAGTGTTTGGAGTTCTGCCCGAAGAGTTCTATTTTTGTTTTATCAGACCAGACAATCTTTTTCCTCATGCTCTCAAAGTCCTTTAAACGCCACTTGGCAAACTCTAAGCAGGCTGTCATATATCCTTTACTGGCGTCCATCCAGCCACTCAACAATAAAGGTCTGATAGAAGCAGTGTAGCTGAGATGGTTGCAGGATCTCCCATCTCTGCAGAGGACTTCTGAAGCTCATGGGTTCATGGTCACCTCTCTGACCACGGCCATTCTTGCCTGGTTTGTCAGTTTGGTCCTCCTCCGCTTCACAATTACTGAAGCCACTATACCCCTGGGAACACTCAAAGATTTAGATGGTCTTATAGCCTTAACCAGATCTACAGCTCACCACAGGTTTATCACAGAGGTCTACAGAGAGTTGTTTTTGTGGGATCTTATATACACAGGTCTGTGCCTTTCTAAACTATATGACCAATCAAGTCAGTTTGCCGCAGGTGGATACCAGTCAAGTTTGAGACACAACTCAAGGATATTTTTGATTTTTAGTAATTTTGCAAAAACTTGTTTTCATTTTGTGATCATGCGTAATTGAGTGTTGAATGGTGCGACAAAAATGGCAGTTTCATCCATGTAAAACTAAATCTAGAACAGAAAAAAGTGTGCAAAAAGTGAGGAAGCCTGAATACTTTCTAATGTTACTGTCAATAATATAAGAATAACTTAATGTCGATGCAGAAGTTCGAGCTGATTTTACAATCATACCTGTTTTCCATCCACACAATGGATCAAATTCGGTGTTATTCTGTGGTGTGTTACTGAAGAAGAAACTTTTAAAAGCATTTTCTTTTTCTACTCAGGAAGAAAAGGTAGAAAGAAAACGACAAATAGTGTTTTGAATTGTTGATACCTTTGAAGTTATCTGAGAGCTGAGAGCTGCCCTCCACAATGTCAGCAGTGATAGGAAGAGCAGGGAATGTAGACTGCAGTACGGAGAGCATCTGGACATCCAACTCCCCTGAAATAAACCAGGAAGTCTTTAGATTTTGAAATCCCACTGCTGCTGAGCACTGCTGCTTCAATGTGAAAAAATCCAACCCCAAAAAGGTTTTGAACTGAGTAGTGCAAACATTTCTGAAACAATCAAAACTGATGAAACATGTCAAATACGCTATATTTAGCGTATTTGACATGCGTATTTGTAAGTGTGTAGAGTGACACTTTGTGTTTGCTCATTGACCTCTATAAGGCCCATTACAAACTATGCTAACTTTGACAGAGGTGTCCATTACTGTAAATTCTTCCTTATGATGAGCATGATGATCAGTTTAACAGGAGCCCGTTTGGTTTATAGAAGGTAACTAAGCCCAAAATACCACAACAAACCACGACAACAATATATGTTCACGCTACCATTACCAGTTCATCACATACCTCCACCACTTCCAATGCCAAGAACATCCAGGCCACTTTTACCTGTTCCAATTCTACATCAACACACGAGAGAAGAAAAAAAAAAAAGATAAAATACATAACTTTGAATTACCCAATGGCACATAACATCTGTACTGTACAATATGTGTGTGTCTCTAAGTTTTTGATTAATACCAAGAATTTGGCAACTATTCACTGTGAATAGCTTTTGAGAGTATTTCATGAATACATGTATTTGTGGTCTTTGTGTGTGCAATTCATGTGATTATGTAATATTCATTGAATTTACTTTCTAATTAACCAATGTGTATTCATGGCAAATCGTAACTACAATGACAGTCTTCATATAGAAAGCACATATGGGCATGGAAGCAGAAATTTACAAGGCCTAAACAGTAAATCCTACAAGCAGATGTGAATGGCATTGCTGGTCAGAAATATCATATTTATACATCATATTTAAAGTTGTATGTTAAAGTGCATTTAAAAAAACAAAACAAAAATATTGAATGCCACAATGGTAACAAAATTGCACTGTGTTGCTCGGCCACGTCACCAGCCTCTGCCTTATCACGGTTATTTTGATATGGAAAATGGGCACAAGCTCAAAAAAGTGGACTTTTGACCAACAGGAATGGCAGCAGATTGTGTTAGCAATCCTGGCAGCTTTGTGTCAGCATGAAAGCACTGGCAATTTCATCCCCCTTTGAAAAGACATTCTGTAACTTTTGAGAGACGTCATTAACTGAGACCTCATATAATGACCTAAATGATCCACTCCTTCAAAAAGCACAAAAAGTAGGAAAGAAAGCACCCATAACGCCTCTGCTGGGAGTAGTGAAAAAAGTAAAAAAGATGATAAAAGCAAAAGCAGAATAGCAACCTCTTTTGTTGTACCTTTTAAATTCTCCTGGCAGGATGCTCTGAACGCACTGGAGAATGGCCTCGTGTTCTCCTGACTTTTCCAGGTAGAACTGAAAGCTTTGGACAGAACTGCCCTCATAACATGACTGCTTTGCCTCTGCAGCCATGGCTGATCCCTGCAATGCATTACACATAGAGGCTTGAAATTCATTGAACAGCATAGAGTTTTTCTAAAGATGACTGTCTAAAAAGTGCTGCGCTGTTTTTAAGAAGCTGCTGAGCTGAATTAAAATCACTTCAGCAAACACTAATTGTACATTGTAAGTATTTAACAATTACCTTGAATGTGTGGAGGGTAAGGACACTGAGTCGATTGCTTTCCCACTCTTTCAAGTTGCAGAGCTACAACACTCTCCCCCTCCCACAGGCTGACTGGGTCCTTCCCATAAGCGTTGCGTAACCCTTGAAAGATGAACTTTGGCTGAGCCGGCTGCTGCTGTGCTGCTACATTCCTATTGGAATCTCATGACAATTACTAGATCAACCTTATCGTTTACTTTCATAGGAAAGGAAAGTTTCAATGGGAATTTATTTCAATGAGCTGCTGGGTTTGAAACCACCAGCATCTGGCCGGAGCCTTTTCCCTGGGTGAACCGTTTTCCTCCCACAGTCCACACACAGACAGTTTAGTTATGAAACAAATTAAATGAAACAAATCAGCATATTAAAAACCACAACGTCATGGGCAGTCCTTCTGCACATAAAAGTATTCTCATTAGTCAACTAGCAGATGACACATTGTGAAAGACATTTGGAATTTAAAAAGCATTTGAGGCCATCACTGTATTTTCAAGTGCCTCCTTTTTGCCCTTGAATATAACTAAAAATGAATTGCTTTAAATTTAAATCTGGCTTGGATGCCACAATTTGTGATGTAATTTATGGAGACAGTGTCTTTATCTTAGCAGATAAAATAAAGACAGTAACAACACAAGGCCTCTCTGCAACTTAACATGCAGAAGGAAGAGTGGTCACCCACTTTCCTGTAGAAAGGGGAAGTTGATAGATCTGGGATTGAGCTCCAGTGCTTGTTATCAGTGTGGTGTCAGTCAAACACAACCAGAATAATCTGCCGCAGCCAAAGATAATCCCATTTTTATTGCAGATATGTGTGTGCTTGTATTTGATGTGTGTGTGTAAACAGTAAACAGTCTAAACATTAGTTTTAAAAACTACAAATAAGTGATTGAAATAAGTGGTTGTAGTTCAAATATTTTTTGTTTCTGTGTAGCTTAGTTGCATCTAGCTGTGTGTGTCATTTTTTTTTTTTTTTTTGTATTTTGATAGTGGAGGTGGTCAGTGATCTATTCACTGTCATTTTACTTGTCCTGGACCCTTTATATGGCCACTCCTATATTTTACAGTTAGGTTACAGACGCTGCCCTCCAGATGGTGCCAACACCTCAGCTATATCAGGAATAATCGTTCTGGGTGATGACAAAGACTAAGAGCAGCTGCTGCCATAGTACTTGTGTTTGTCCAACCAATACAGTCCAGACCAATTTCCCAATGTGGTCTCAGACTTGTGCATCCCACTGTATATCGCATGTATCAGTATGTACATACCATTGATACAGGTTAGGTTTTTTTGGAGTATAATTACATTTGAGCTGTGTAGAGTTATCACAGTTTGAATAAAACCCATATAGTACTTGACTGGTTGGTTTCTACACTCTCATGGGAGTGTTCATCTTATCTAAAATTAAGAGTTCAGTCTCCATGGAAAACATTAAATGCTCAATTTAACATTTATTTTTATATTTCCAAAGTAATTTGATCCAGTGAGAGCAGCAGTGTAATGAGGTTGGCCGCACAGCCAGCCAACTGTAGCCCATTAAAATTATATGATGCTAGAATCTGAAGCTGATTAAAAATCTAATACTTGTTAGAAAATTTGATCATGACAATGAAACAAACCTCGTTCATTAAAAAAAAATACAATTAAGCTAATATTCAATTTTCCCCAGCATTGCACATTATACACAATTAATAATTAAAACCATATTAATCCAAAATAAGTGCTGTTAGAGAACGTATCAAAATCAAAATAGACGGAGATAGTTCAGGTCATAAAACAAGGTATTTCCCACATATGCTAAAAGCTTGTTAATTACATACATTATAAGATACAATGTATAATTTTGAACAATCAAGCTGTTTAAAAATCAACAACTATGTTACCAAAATACTGCACATTTCACATTCACTATACTAACCAACTGTTTTTAAGAGAGCTGATCTAAGACTATCACTCCAAGATTGTTGTTGAAGATAACTTTGCCGTCAGACACCACACTACAGTCCGGGTGTCGAAGTAACTCCGTGACGCCAGCTTTCAGCTCAGGTGAGGCCGTCTTACTGAAGTCCAGCACCTCCGTGAGAAAATCAAGCAGCAGCTCTCCCTTCTCATCGCCTTCGGTGAAACACTCGGTGATATCCAGTTGGGATGGCAGCTCATAGCTCTTGTAGCTCACTCCATTGGAGTCCAGGAAGCTTTTGATGTCTCCAGCGGTCACACACTGACTTATTTCCGTGTTACAAAGCTGCTCCCTGTATGTCTTCCACAGCTTTCCCCACCCACTCTCCTCTTGAATGGACAACATGAAAACATGAGTAAGAGTCGACAGTCATGTCAGCAACTCTGTGAGACTGTACCCACAGTACCAGTCGAAAGTGCGGACAGACATGCTAATATCAGCAAGCTAACATGCAACGACAATGTCCAACAGGTAATGCTCACCATTGTCACTGTCTTAGTTTAGCATGTTAGCTTGTCTAACCTTTTCTAATTGGCATTCACTGGATGTTAAGAATAAGTAAAAAAATTTGGCCTGTTGGTGGCACTAGAAGAAAAGTCATGGGATCACCAAAGTCAGTAGGATTCATTGACTGAGGACTATAAATGTCTGTGTGAAAATTCATGAAAACTCATTAAAAAATTGTTGATATAATTCGGTATGGATCAAAGTGGCGGACCAACCAACATTGCCATCCCTTGAGAAATTGCAAGCAATGGAGGATGGTTCACCAAATGAAAACAAAACCACATTAACACAAGGGAAATCACTACTGAATCTATTACTGAAATAAAATGTTTTTCCATGAGAAATATGTATTGTATGTACCAGTGTTTTCATTTGTGTTTGTTTTAGTAGTAGTTTTAACTGATATCATTGTTAAACCGGTTTTCAACCCTATAAGCGTATATGTATATACGCAATGAGTACAATGACTACATACAGCATAACTAACCAGAACACACCAGAGAGAACATCGTGATTGAAGATTAGATCCACTTACCAGAGACTAGGATGATAAGAAGCTTCCCATTCTTGTTGAGGAGACTTTGGAAGAAGCTGACGGTAGCTCCAGGATCCTTCACATAGTACAGCATCTGTCGATTTCACCACAGATAATGAGCTGGTAACTGGATTCACAGAGCAACTAATTATAACGCTATGCTAGACAGATGTTCTAATGGGATTAATTGCTATGGAGCGCCACCGAATGAATATGACCTAGATGTGTCAAAAATACAGAAGCACTGCGTCGCCAACACCAACCTGTATCATGTGAATGAAGTCGGCTTTCTTTGTCATCTTTTTCACATTCCAAATCTCCTCAAACTGAGAGGCAGTCATCTTGTTCCAGGTAAATTTGATGTAATCTAAACCTGGTTTCTGTGACACTAAAACTGCAGATGGGCAACAAACAGTTAGTGTACTTCAAACATCACCGAATTTACACAGAAATGTTACAGTGTCAAAAATCTGTATTGCTCCATGTTGCTTTCTGTAAATTTCACGTCACTATATCACACATTTTGGGAAAACACACTATAATAATAATTTAACTCAGAAAAAACTCACTGTATTATACAGTAAAGTTTATTATCAATGTGTTATACAGTAGACTTAACACTGAAATAAAGATAAATACAATGAGATTTTACAGTCTACACTTGCTTTTTGTTTTAGGCCATAATATCTGACACTTGTCGTACTGAAATTTGCACCTCAGCTATCAAAACAAACAACTCATGTCACTTGGCATCGGCATGAGGGAGTTTATGTTTTATTTCCCTTTGATGAAGAGAAATGAATTGAGAAAGAACTGAAATACACTCAAATTTTCAAATGTTAAAACTGCACTTTAAACTTTTGGTTGTGTACATATACTGCAGTATATCTTCAACAACTGCATATGCTCAAAGTTTTGAGTAAGATAAGTTTTTCATGTGCATGTGAAAAAACAGTGATTCAGCCTAAAACTATTTCATGGAGTCAATTATTGTATAACTAATGGTAAATACACTATAAGAGAACGGGTATTCATAGCAGAAGAAAAAGTGAGGATAAGAGTATGACAAATTTCTATGGAGACATTTCACAATAAACTTAAGATATTATGCACCTGATGAACTGTGCCTTGTCTGGGTGGGAATGAATACAGTGAGTCATAACCTCCAAGCAACACCAAAACTAAACTTAACTAAAAACTCATGAATTACTTAACAGTAAATAGTTCTGTTTCAGCCGTGTCGTGCAAACCTCCACAGCTATGACCTTTCTGTGAGCCGCTGATTCAAAGCAGGCAAGTATGAGCAAGTCTTGAAATCACAAAAAGATTTCAACAGGCTTTACAACATGCTTCTGAATATATAAATTCTCACAAAGATGTCTCAACAGTTTCTAAGCTGAAAGAGCCACCTACAGAGAGTCAACCAAACAACCAAAGAGAAGTGGTGTGGTGTGAGAACATAATGAACACTGAACATCAAACATACAAAATCTACAAGATAAAAAACCTGTGGATCACCACTTTAACTACACCAATCATTAGGTTAGTATTTGAATACATACGTATGTGTGATAAATGAATTGGTGGTGACAGGACTATGAGTATGTGAATCTACTGGTCGGATGGAAGTAGACTCGGAGCTGGTAGGGATTCAGAGTCTTACTCACAGACATTTCAGAATGGCGGATAATTGCTGACATGAGGGCTTGAGTCTAGGACTGGTTGTTAAAGGACCTCTTCTGACTGATGCATGAATAACTGTATTACTAATGCATCAGCCGGTGGTTCATTTTCAGCGAGTACGCGAGGGTCTGCGTGACATCAATTTTGACATACGAGGTTGCACGTGAGGCTCTGGTGCAGACATTGTTCCCGCCAATCTCCGTGGACAAAACAAATTAGACATAACAACACAACGTAACGGTGCAGACTGCTCACGAGCTGGAAGAAAAAACATGGACACTGATTTTCAAAAGATGCTGTATGAGGAGGTCCGAATAAAAAGACAACCAATTGTGTTCTAATTCTTAGATGTTGCCATTTTAATTTGGTTCATAATTCACAGAATACGTAGACGACG